AAGAGAAACTTGTTTTTCTCCCTGAAGTTATATATATATATTTTTTTTTTAAAAGAGGAGAAAAGCTACCAACAGAAGTTAAAAATTAACTATGAAAAGAGATGTCTTTATTACAGTCATTTAAATTTTTTTTAGATCTTCTCATGGAAATGTATTGAAAATTGATATTCACAAACATCTACTCATCGATGCAAATATTCAGTCAATTCTAAATAGTCTATCTTGCTGTCAATCAATGAAGCGCAATGGCATCAACTACTGTACCTGAGCCAAGACTCACTACTGCTACCTGGCGGCAACATGCACACATTGAAGAAGCAGGGCCCTAATGCAAAATACCCCTAACGCCGAAGTACTGTGACAAGGGTCATCCATGAAAAACAGGTCATTGAGGCCTGGGCATGGTGGTTCACACCTGTAATCCCAGCGATTTGGGAGGCCGAGGCAGGAGGATTGCTTGAGGCCATGAGTTCAAGACCAGACTGGGCAACATAGTGAGACCCTGTAGCTACATAAAAATAAAATGAAGAAAGGGGAACAGGTTACTCAGGAAAACAAGCATATATAATGAGAAATCCACTGAGAAGAAGGAAATTTTCAAGAATAGTCCAACCGTGAAAATATAGCTTCTTAAACTGTGGAAGAGTGAAATTCTTTCCTCATTGGTGCAGTGAGATGCTAAGCTGCAAACTTTGAGCAACAGTACCTTTAAGACAACCTACCAGCCCATTGATGTCTACATATTTTACTCTCTATGTAAGAATATGATAGTGTTTCTACATATTCTGACTTAAAGGCGCGTGCTGAACAATGAAAACACAGGGACACAGGGAGGGGAACGTAACACACAAGGGTATGTTGTGGGGTGGGGAGGTTGGGGAGGGACAGTGAGGTCGGAGAGGATGGAGAGGGATAACATTGGGAGGAATGGCTGATGTAGGTGATCGGGGGATTGGAGAAAGAAAACCACCGTGGCATGTGCGTACCTATGCAACAATCCTGCAAGATCTGCACGTGTACCCCAGAACTTAAAGTACAATCAAAAAAAAAGAGGAGAAAATTTTTTTTAAATGGTAGTGCTCAACATTACAGTTATCAAACGCTCACGAAATAAGGTCTACTACATGAATTGGAGTAAAGTGTGTGCCTCAACCTAGCTCAGCGCACCCATGGCTGTGCTAAATTAGCATTGAATATGCAGGACTGGTATTCACTGCCTCATCTTCTCATGGGCTGAAGCCAGGTCTTCCATTTATAGACCAGCTTCTCTGTTGGTTGACTGGAATGGAAAGAGATACAGAGACACACAGGGACACAGGGCTGACTGTCATCAGTGACCTCACAGGTACTTTTTACCTCCCACTCAAAGTACAACTTGATGGTGTGATAGGCCAGAAAGAGATGAATGGAAGCAAAGAGTCCCTTATCTTAGCAACAACACAGGCTAGGAAACACCACAATGTTTGGCGCAACAACAACAACAAAAAACTGATGGAAAAAGATCCTTCCTAGAAACCCACATTATTTGGACGAGTTCCCAAGCAGGGGAAAAAACAACATCGGAGCCATTCTTACTTCATCATAAGTGTCTCCCATTTTGCCACATTCTCGCCCACTAAGCACCCCACATCCATGAGAGACAATGGCTGTATGGATGAAAATGAGGCTCTATTTATGCATGAGTCAGACAGTTGTGTGTAACACCCTCTTTGACACATGTATTTTTCAAAAAACCCTTTCAGTCTAGAGAATCAGAAGCTTTCCAGGAGTTGAAGTCAAAGTCCAGAATTGTTTCTTAAATCGGAGAGAGCCAGAACTCAGAGACAGGAACATAGAGGACTAAATACTAACGCAGACAGTGTACACTGAACATGCTGTTAAAATGTCCTCTATTGGCCGGGCACAGTGGCTCATATCTGTAATCCCAGCACCTTGGGAGACTGAGGGCAGGTGAATCATTCGAGATCCGGAGTTCGAGACCAGTCTGACCAACATGGCGAAATCCTGTCCCTACTAAAAATACAAAAAAAAAAAAAAAAAAAAGAATTAGCCAGGTGTGGTGGTGCATGCCTGTAATCCCAGCTATTCAGAAGGAGGTTGCAGCGAGCCAAGATCATGCTACTGCATTCCATCCTGGGTAACAAAGTGAGACTCCATCTCTTGCACATACACATACAAATTTTCTTAAATGTACTCTATTAAGAGGTAAGCACATAATTTGGGCAAGAAGGTGTAAAATAATTTTTAATTATGCAAGTGATATGTGAATTTATTCTTCCTTTTATTATTTATTTATTTATTTTTGAGAGGGAGTCCTGCTCTGTTGCCCAGGCTGGAGTGTAGTGGTGCGATCTTGGCTCACCGCAACCTCTGCCTCCTGGGTTCAAGCTATTCTCCTGCCTCAGCCCCCTGAGCAGCTGGGATTACAGGTGTGCACCATCACACCAGGCTATTTTTGTATTTTAAGTAGAGACAGCGTTTCATCATATTGGACAGGCTGGTCTCGAACCCCTGACCTCAGGTGATCCACCTGCCTTGGCCTCCCAAAGTGTTGGGATTACAGGTGTGAGCCAACATGACTGGCCACATTCTTCCTTTTAAACATTGTTTTAAGAATTAGATATTACAAAATGTTATCCCCTCTGAAATAGTCACTGTCGTTCGCAGTGTTTCCATTTTGGGATATATCCTTCCAAATTATTTAAAATATATATGCACCCACATACATACATATACGTGGGTGTATATACAAACTCATAGAAATATGCAGTTTATGTGTATGTGTGTGTTTTTATAAATGGTATCAATAAACAATATATCACTAAGATCTACTGATGCTGATACTGTAACCAAACAATACCTTGAAATACTAGTCTTTGTGGGTACTTTCCTCATTTCATCATGTGTTAATGTCTCCTACTCAGTCAGGGACCTCCGAGTTGACTTGAGAAGAATACAGATTGAGTAGCAATTAAAAGAGAACAAAGGGTGTGTGTGTGTGTGTGTGTGTGTGTGTGTGTGTGTGTGTGTGTGTGTGTGTGTGTGTTTACATGTATATTTTCTACTTGAGATTCAGAGAGGAAGACCCTCTGAGAGCAAGGGAAGCATAGGATTTATGCCATAACAGACCAGAGACAGACCTAAAAAAAAAAAAAAAAAAAAAAGGCAATGATGGCTTCCCCAAAACCTTTCACAGTATGACTGTCTAAGAAGAATATTCAGTCAATGCTTTAAGGATACAACACAGAAGTCAGAAACATAAATGTCTGCAGAGGCTAGGCAGATGTTATAAATGCCCAAATCGGGACGAATGGCAAGCAACCACTTATGCCTATAGTGTTAGGGACCCATAAGGGAGTGGTGTGGACCATGGCAGACCTGAGTGTATTAGCTGCTCCCCAGTTGCAGTCAATTACTGCTATGGTAAAATGCAAGCTAGTTGTCAGCCCTTCCTATTTTTACAGAGAAGCGGAAAAAATACCTGATTTTTGATGTAAAAATCTCTTGATTTTTAAGTGTTGACCATTCAAAATCCAAAGTTTCAGAAACAAAAGAAAACCCCGTGCAGGCCAGCACTTGGCTGGTCCCACCACAGGCTGGATTTAGATCTCAGGGATTGGAATCAGTTAGCAACTCTCATCTACTTCCATGTGTGTTCCTCTGCTGACACGACTGATGTCTCAGTGAAACATTCTGTGACAAATTAACATGCAGAACACAGACAGCTTTTTAAAGCTAATGGGTTTTTTTTCATACAGAAAAATATAACTGGTAATTGGGGCTATTTTCTAGCTTCCATTTACATTTTGGAATGGATTTTTGAAACAGGATAAGGCAAAACCACACAGCGAACTATCTTTTTCATTTCTTAGGCATTTTCAAATTTATCGGAAGAGGTTCAAACTGTGTCACCTTGGAAGTATACTTTATGTCCTCTGAATGGGGAAGATGCCCCAGCATTATCTAGAAAGGGGACACAGGCCCATGCTTCCAGGGGAGAAGAGTTCTTTTGAAGGTATCTTACGGCAAGCGTCCATCATAGAACATCTGGGGAAGCAAATCCTGATCTTGAATCAGACCAGCGTAAGACGGCATGTTCTACGGGCTGAAGGCCGAAGTAAAGATCCCTTGCGGATAACTATCTTAAAGGAGGCTAAGGAATGGGCCCCTGTTGTCTCTGCTCTCCTTTGCAAGGAGAAGACTTGCAGTGGCACTAGACTGGTTTAGGATGTGATGCATTTACCATCGGCCGTTTTCACCAAACTATCTCAAACTGAACACAACTACTCAGTAGGCAGAGGCAGAAAGATCACTTGGGCCCAGGAGTTCAAGGCTATGATTGAAGCTGTGAATAGCCATTACACCACTCTGAGCAACACAGGGAAACTCCATTTCTTTCTTTTTTTTTTTTTTTTGAGACGGAGTTTCACTCTTGTTACCCAGGCTGGAGTGCAATGGCGCGATCTCGGCTCACCGCAACCTCCGCTTCCTGGGTTCAGGCGATTCTCCTGCCTCAGCCTCCTGAGTAGCTGGGATTACAGGCACACGCCACCATGCCCAGCTAATTTTTTTGTATTTTTAGTAGAGACGAGGTTTCACCATGTTGACCAGGATGGTCTCGTTCTCTTGACCTCGTGATCCACCTGCCTCGGCCTCCCAAAGTGCTGGGATTACAGGCGTGAGCCACTATGCCCAGGCCTGTTTCTTAAACAAACAAACAAACAAAGTTTACAAAGCAACCAGAGACTATAAATACAAAGTCAAAAAAAAATCCTTCCCCCATAAAAGTGAAGTTTGCTTTTTAACTATCTGCGTTCGGAGCAGAAATTTAAGAGAGCTGAACTATTTTTAGGAATGGACTGCCAGGATGGAAATATTGATGACACATGCTCTGTGTAAAAACAATCATTGATGACCTCTTGCTAAATAAACTTATTGTTTTAAAAAGCAAGATATTCTGGGATTCAGATGCATACAGTTTATGGAGAGGATCATTCTACCTTGAAGATGAAGTCAGCCATCAGAGGTCCCGGAATCTTAAAGGTTTGCCTCTCGGAACCTTTCTGAAATTCCACTGTTGTGTTTTCTATGACAAAGACTCCGGGGCTGTCAAAGCTGTGTTCTCCTTTGCTTCCTTGAAGTGTTTTTGATTCAATGACTGAAATTAAAATATATAATTCAGATAAGAAACAATCTCAAAGGCATTTTATTATAAAAGACATCTTAGTAAGCACAATGTTAGTATACCATATCAAAACAATGTCAAAATAGCCACACCGGTTTACACACATTAATTCATCTTGATGGAATAGATGTCTCAGATTTTTAATTGCTTATAAAAGAGGAGCTAACAAGGGTGGCAGGCCCAAATGGTTCTACTCAATTCTTTGGAGCCATTTCTATCATAAGGGGAAAGAAAACTTTTCTTTCTTTATATGTTTTCATGATGTAGCTAATACTCAAAGTAAAGCTATGTTCACTCAATTTATTATTTGTTCAAAAGATGTTATGCCTACTCTTTTATTTAGACAAAAATCACAGCAAATTTCAAATTTGCTTTTTTCCAAACAAAGCTTTTTATTTTGAAATAATTCTAGATTCACAGGAAGTTGCAAAAATAGTATAGAGAGGTCCTTTGTAACCTTCACTCCCTCTTGTCTAATGATTACATGTTACAAAAGTATAGTAGAATACCAAAACCAGGAAATCAACATTGGTACAATATGTGCATGTAGTTCAATGCCATTTTATCACCCACCACCACAATCAAAATACAGAACCACTGCAATTGCCACAAAGACCTCCTTTGTGCATGAAACCCCTTTATTCAAACTTGCTTTCACATGAACAAAAGTGCTTTTAAGATTTCCTATAGGAAAAAAATGTTTGCTTATCAGTTTAAACAAAAAAAGCATTTCTACTTTATTTAAATTTCTGTCTTTCCTTCCTCTTTCTTTTCTTTTCTTTTCTAAGTGTCACCATACTTAGTAGACCTGGTTTGATGTTGGGAGAGGCAACACAAAAATATATACAGCTATGTTCTGGTGCACCTGCATTTCTGGCCCAAGCTCTTTCTCTAACTTTCTGCCTTGGGTTTTCATTGCCTCATTTCTAAATTGAGGAGTCAGAACAGACAATCTCCCAGATCCAACTCTATTCTGAAATCCACACTTGATTTAATGGTATCGTACCACTTTTTAACAATCTCAAATAAAGAACACAGAAGAACCAAAACTCGTTGAGTGTCAAAAATGGAAAGCTGATAAAATGGGACAAAATAGTCTGGCATTAGGGAGCTTCCATCCATATGCTGCTGGGCTTTGGTTATTTTCATGTGCTGGATTTTTTTTCTGTCACTGGAGCAGCTGTAGGAATTCAAGCGCCCTGGACAGACTGCATAACAGGCATTAGGAGACATCCCTGATTATCCCTGACAGGCAGGCTGGGAACTTTTCTGGGAAAATTCAAAGGCTGGACATGAGCTCCTTGATCTGGAGGAGTCATTAGCGGTCGAAGAACAATGCTGGCTACTTTCAGGCACACAAACCCCAACCACTTTGGCCCTGATCTCCATGACCGCAATAGATTTTTGGAAAATGTGAGGTTACATTCATTTCCTAGTTCCAATGAAGATATAAAATTGAGTGTTATAAAGTGAGTTGTCAGTAAAAATGAAATGGGGAACTAGAGATAGTAAGTGGGCCCTACAGTGGATATCTCTAAAGTCAATGAGAAAAAAAATAGATGAGCATTAAGGCGATATCAAGATGCAAAATGAAGTTGGACACAATGCATCCTCACAGAAGGCATGCGAAACACAGGTTTCTAGACATTGATTTCGCCCGAAATGACTTGATTAAATTCAAGTAGCGTGCAATGGATTCCGCGGCTGTGTTGGGGTGGTAATTGCTTTACCATTGTGCTAACCTTTTGGACCACAGCTTTCCAAGTTGCAGGTCGGGATGCAGAGTTGGGGCAGGGGGTGTAAGAATCTGGGAAGGTGATCTGGGAGGAAGAGAGGACCGGTTGCTGTGATATCCATCCCCTAAACCAAAGGCCAGCATTTTTGTTAACTTGGTTCTGGTATTTTGCTTTTAATACGGAATCTATTCACTATTTTAACAGTGTCTAAGAGTCTCAGTGGCATGAATACGAAAACACAAGTACCGAAACCAACTTTCAAGTCCACAGAAGTCACCCAAACCATTCTGCATCTCCACTAAATGGTACGCTTATTGCAAATATTTATATTTTGAGCATTTCAAAAGGCTTCCAGTTCTCTAAAGCACAAACACTGGTTGCCTATCTAGGAGGCAGAAAGCAGGTGTTTTGACCTCAGTTGTGTAAATAGGTAAGCAGAGTCAGAGGTGGCTGAATAAAGAAGTAATTTGGTGAAGGTACAGTTTACGGACACAAACTGTGAAGTAATTTGGTGAAGGCACAGTTTACGGACACAAACCATTTTGATCATTTGGATTAACAAAGCCATTGCGCTAAATCCACAGTGAGGTGGAGGCCGGCGTAGTTCTTTAAAAGTTGTCATTTTTATTGGTGGCAAACTTGCTTCTCCTTAGTGCTGGTGCCTCTTAAAAATAAATGACACAAAAGGAGTTTGCGGTATTTCAATCAACAATGCAGATCATGTATTGACTTATGGATACCTTGATTAAGTTCTTATTAATTTCTACCATTCCCCTGTATTTGTGGCAGCCCCATGTTGTGACAACGTGTGATTCATGGCTAGTGAGAGCTGTAAGTGCAAGCCCTCCAGTCCTCCGAGGTTTCACTGACCCTCTGTGGTTTCTACAGCAAGGTGGTTAGTGCGTGGGAGACCCCAGGAAGCCTATAAACATCCCCACCACTATTAAGGAAAGAGAGCATCAGCCTTCTTTCCTGCTGCCCACGGTTCAACTTTTTTCTCCTCTCCAGGCTTAACATTGAGGGCAGGGAGAGAAGTGTTGAGAAAGATATGATAGGTAGCCTCAAAAAGAGTAAAAATTAGAAATCAAGACTTACTTGTAACCCCAGGTCTTTAAAACACAGGTCTCTAGTGATGCCTTTACATGTTTTAATCTATTATTAGTTCTTTTTAAAAGAAATTATGCCTAGAAAAACGATGAACGCTTTTAATTGCTCCTAGTTGAAGGGTTCGCATTGAGAATGATCAGTTTAGGCTTCTTTCAAAAAAGGCAGGGTCATGGGAACCATCCCCAAGAGGTCTCCCTAAATTTTAAAGGCCATGAAAGTACTGTCAGGTAAATGTGGAATAAGTGTTTAGCACAGCTAACAGAGTTATAAATACATCCAACTTACATGTACAGTAGACCTGTATTTGGACAGTATATGCTAATTTCATTCATGTCAATTTCCTTTGTTGGTCATTAGGTACAGAATCCATGTTTATATTTATAGATCTCTATATATGGTCATCAGATAGGGCTTAAACGGAAAATATTCTTCCAATTGAAATGGAGGTTTTTGGTTTATGGCCTCTTGGCTTCTCAAGTTTATTGCTAGTCAAACATATTTAATGCTGAAGTCTTGCTAAAATAAAATCTGTTTTGAAGGGATCTGCTATTGCTTCCACTTTTGAAGTGATGCACTACTGGAAAATTTGGGGCCGTGTGCCCTCCATAATGCTGTGGACAGGCTTGGGACAGGACTGGAAACTCAGAATCCAAACAAACACCTCTAGGCAGTATGTAAGATGGATATTCTGTAATTAAATTTTGTTCCTCAGCAAAGAGACTGACATTAATGTTACTGGGTATTTTTAGTTCTTAGTAATACAGACTTTTGGATAGTTACAGTTAATGTAGATGTTAAAAGAATGATTTATTACTGCAAAATAAGCTTCATTTCAGAAATATCTCTTTTACAAATAAAAATTAAGAAAAAGGTTGCATAAATCCAGAAAATAAAACCACTTCTATATTTAGATATTCAGAAATGTTAACTAAGTCCTTTGTAAATGAAGCCAGTTCTATTCATCAGCAAAGAAGGATAAGATTCAGAAATACTTCTAGTGCCAATTGTGAGATTGTTCAGAAAGGGAAATAGTCCAAGCAACAGATTTGTCACTCTTGGAGAAACGGGGACATTTCTGAGCCCTGTTCTTGGCAGAGTGCCAGTCTTGAATATAGTTTTGTTGAATATGCCAGAACATATAGACATAAATGGATTTTGCCTCAAAGTGTTCACCTTTACTTATTCTGTTTACTGTTTACTTATTCTGTTTTTGCAAGTTAGAAAACTATTTTTGGAGCTGAATCTGGGGGAATTGCCTTTAATGACACGAGAATATCAAGGCCATTCATTGTATTTTTGTGTTTTTTAAGCATCTTTTCCACATATAAAATTTGCATGCCATAAACTTTACCCTTTGAAAATGTATAATTTAATTGTTTCAGTATATTCACAGAGTGAAGCCATCACCATCATCTGTTTATTATTTTAAACTTGCAGTATTCTGAGAAACCAGTGTCTGCCTTCAGTGACCCCTAGACGGGAAGTTGTGACATTGCTAGTAGCAAGGATTGTTCTGGTCAGCCATATTCACTGATAACGTTTTGTATTTTAAATTTTGTTGTTTTGTTTTTGACCCACTTTGCTGCAATCTCTAGAACATTCCCGAATATTACTTTAGTCTCCATTCCCAAATATTACTTTGCTGAGTCTTGCTCTGTCACTCAAGCTGGAGTGGCAGATTGCAGTGGTGCAATCACAGCTCACTGCAACCTTGAATTCCTAGGCTCAAGGAGTACGTTGGACTGCATGTCTGTAGTAATGAAGCTACTCCTTGGACTACCTCAGCCACTTGAGTAGCCTGGACTACAGGTGTGTGCCACTATGCCTAGCTAATTTTTTTTTTACTTTTTTGTAAAGACAGGGTCTTCCTGTGCTGCCCAGGCTTGTCTCAAACTTCTAGGCTCAAGTGATCCTCCTGCCACAGCCTCCCAAAGAGCTGGCATTACTGGTGTGAGCCACCACACCCAGCTACCCTATACAAAAATAGTTTCTTTCACATATAATTTGTTTTTTCCCTCCCATGAGGGGATCATTCTTAAACCAGGTAAATTTCCCATTGGGGTATTAGAACAGAAAAATTCAAGATACAATACAGATAACTTCCCTGGTTATACAGACTATTTTGCTCACCCTACTGGGTACACCCAACAGGCGGGGGAGATCATGCCCAATGGCCAGATCTAACATTCTTTCTGCTGACTCCAAGTCTTTAGACAAAACTCTTTCTTAACCAATTGCAAATCAGAAAACATCTGAATCTAACTATGGCTTATAAGACCTGCTTCAAGATATTCCACCTTTTCAGGTCAAACAAATGCAGAGTCTCCATGTATTAATTTGTGACTTTGCCTGTAACTTCAATCTCCCTGTCTTTAAAAATTCTTACTCATAGGTGGGTGTTGAACACATGGACACAGGGAGGGGAGCACTACACACTGGGGTCTGTTGGAGGGAAATAGGGGAGGGACAGTGGGGGTGGGGAGTTGGGGAGAGATAGCATGGGGAGAAATGCCAGATAGAGTTGATGGGGAAGAAGGCAGCAAATCACACTGCCACGTGTGTACCTATGCAACAATCTTGCATGTTCTTCACATGTACCCCAAAACCTAAAATGCAATAAAAAAATTCTTACATGTGAGACATCAGGGAGTTCAGGTCTTAAGCATGAGCTGTTTGATTTTCCTTGCTTGGTGCCCTGCAATAAATGCCTCACTGTCTCTGGCTGCAAATCCTAATGTCAGTGTTTAGCTTTGCTGTGCCAAACACGTAGACGCAAGCTCGGTAACATATCCATTAAATGTAGAGAAATTTTTTTTCTTGCTGGTTTGGTTTCTGGGTTTGATTTGTTTTGTTTTGTTTGCTAACTTAACTTTCGGGATATTGAATAATGTTAAGATTAAATTCTACTTACAGAGGTGGGCAGGCCCTTTCACTGTAATTCTCACACTTCGACTTCCCAAAGGAACAGCGATTACATTTTCTTCTCCTGGGAAAGAACAGAAGACTACAATAAAACCAATACACTAAAGACCCATGAAAAAGAGCAAGTCAGTCAAAACTGGGACGTCTGCAAAGTACTCTTAACTATATTTAAGAAATCTTTGGAAATCAACTATGTGTAAAGCAGATGAATACATAATTTCATTTAAATACACCTTAACATTAAACAAACATTTAAAGTCAATGCACTGCCTGCTACCTCAGTGGCCTTTACTCTTAGGTCCCAATCCATGTACTTCGATGCGGGTCTGCAAACTGTGGCCCCTGGGCCAAATCTGGCCACACCTCTTCACTCGTTCATTTAAGGCCATTTTTGCTCTTCAAGGCAGAATTGAGTTGTAGTAATGAAGACCATGCGGCTGAATAAGGCTAAAATATTTACTGTACTATTTGGTGTTTCACAGAAAAATGCTATAATCCTTGGCTTAGGCAATTACCTACTGGAAATCCTGGCCCTCATAGATGTTTTTTCACAGTTACATATTCTGATAATTTAATTTTTATGCTCACATAATAATCTAAGCTCATATATATTTTATCTCACTAGTCCCCTATCTGAACATTGTTTCTAAATGAAACTAGAACATTATCAATGATATGAATTACTTCAAGCAGATGTTTTTTGTCTAACTTACACAGAACAATGTTTTTGGATAAACTCTCCAGAGTGACATCAGTGAAGCAAAGGATATCAATACAGTGATTGACTAGTTTGCAAGTTGTATTCAATTGAAATACCTGTTTATTATCAAAAATTAGAAAATGCAGATAAACAAAAATAAAAAATAAAGCTTTTTCTAATCCTACTGCCCAGAGATCATCACTTCTAACACTTCAATGAATGTCCATTCCAGATGTTTGTTTGTTTTTAATATATACACCTGCAAAAGGAAAGAATGAACCATACCTAAATGTCCCTCAATATGGGAAAGATTACATAAACAAGTATATCCATTCTAAGGAATACTCTAAAACTAATAAAAGTAATGATAAGAAGCTGTATGACCTGATGTGGAAAGCCTGCCAAATACACTGAAGACTTTAAAAAGAAGATTAAAAAACAGGGCAGTGATATCTTAGATATGACACTAAAAGCACAGGAAACACATGAAAAAAAAGACTAAATTTGACCCATCAAAATCAAACCTTTGTGAATGAAAAAACACTATGAACAGAGTGAAGAGGCAACACATAGAATGGGAGAAAACATTTGCAAATCACATCTTGGAAGGGATTACTATCTAGAATATATAAAGAATGCTTACAACTCAACTACAACAAAAAACAACTTATTCAATAAAAAGGAATAAAAGGCTCCGATTTCTCCAAAACAGCTCTACAAATGGCCAATCAGCACATGACAATGCTCAGTATCAATAATTGTTAGGGAAATGAAAATCAAAACCACAGTCAGGTACCACCTCACACCCATCAGCATGGCAATTATACAAACAAAACAAAACAAAAAACAAGCAGAAAATAACAAGCACTGGTGAGTATGTGGAGAAACTGGAACCCTTGTGAACTGATGGTGAAAATTTTAAATGGTACAACTACTACTGAAAATAGGATGGCAATTCCTCAAGATATTAAACATAGACTTAACATATGATCCAGCAATTCTGCCTTTGGGAATATACCCAAAAGAATCGAGAGCAGGGACACAAACAGATATTGGTACATTCACGATCATGGCAGCACTATTCACAATAGGCAAAAGGAAGAAAGAACCCAAGTATCTATCCATGGATGAATGGATAATGCTGTTTTTGTTCTATGAAAGCAGAATTGAGTCATGGTAATGAAGACTGCACAGCTCAATAAGCCTAAAATATTTACTGTGCCATCCTGCTGTCTGGCCTTTCACAGAAAAGATTTTGTGATCCTTGGCCTAGACAGGCATGGTGGCTCACATCTGTAGTCTCAGCACTTTGAGAGGCCAAGGCAGGAGAATGCCTTGAGCCCAGGAGTTGGAGACCAGCCTGGGCAACATAGGGAAACCTCGTCACTACAAACAAATTTATAAAATTAGGTGGGTATGGTGGCATGTGCCTGTAGTCCCAGCTGCTTGTGAGACTGGGGTGGGAGGATTGCTTGAGCTCAGGAGGTTGAGGCTGCAGTGAGCCATGATTGACCCACTATACTCCAGCCTGGGTAACACAGCAAAACCTTGCTTTAAAAAAAAAAAAAAAAAAAAAAGGAAACGAAATGACACATACTACAGCATCAGTCATTTTAAGGATGCTAGCAACCAGCTCATCGTTTTTAAAACTAATAAAGACGAATGTATTCATCATGCTTTGTTGCTTTCGTTTGTTTGTTTTCTTTTGTTTTTTGAGAGAATCTCACTTTGTCACCCAGCTAGACTGCAGTGGTCTGATCTAGGCTCACTGCAACCTCCACCTCCTGGGCTCAAGCGATCCTCCCAACTCAGCCTCCTGAGTAGCTGGGGCTATGGGTGTGTGCCAGCATGCCTGGCTAATTTTTGAATTTTTTTAGAGACTAATTTGAACAAAACATAACGGCATAAAGACCTCTGAAAAATCCTCTCCTCCATAAAATCAATAAAATCACCAGCAAAAATGGTCAGAACCAACATTTGTAAAACTCAGGAAATTAACCAAAGGCTTATAACAATCTGAGCAGTAATTATTCAAGGAAAGTGCTAAGAACAGTGAGCTTTGTGGCATGCTAAGCTGCCTATTCTCATCTCTGCATTCTCCACCTCCATGGTAAACTTGAAAACGGCAGCCCATAATCCCAGTGCAAACCCGCAGCCTGGCAGACTCTGCAGGGGTAAAATGGGTTTGGAGCTCCTTCAATGCCCAATTCCCAATTATTTGACCTGTGTAGTGGTTCCCTGGAAGCCTTCACTCACAAAGCTGTCTTTAGTTTACCTAACTGGGAGTTTGCCCAGTGTAAACAGCTTTTCCCCAGGAGGCATTTGTCCAAAACAATCAGAGGTACTTGTTTAACATTGAGGCTGCATGAGATTGTGGATAACAACTGGGGAAAACAATAAGCGAACCAAAAAGCTGGGAATGAGATGTCCACAGGTGGCTTTGAAAAGCTCCAACATGTTCCTGAAAATCTAGAAGGCCACGAGTCTATGTGGGGCTTTGCACATGCCAGAGCTTTGTGCATGCCCAGAAAAGACTTGAGAAGGTCCTAAGCTCTCATCTCCGAGTAACCTACAGCAGGAAGTAAAGTCAGTAAAGGCTAGAACAAAGTTTTCAACTATCTTGGCTGAGTGTTGAATGTGTACCCCAACACAGACACATACACGTGCGCACACGCACGCACACACACACATGCACACACACACAGTGCCCACTAAAAATAACCAAGTCTCCACTGAAAAACCAGGTAATTCCAGGTCTGAAGTAGGGAAAACTCAAGGTGGGTTTGGAATACCTGTTGCTCTAGAAACCAAGGCAGTGTTTAAAATTCAACAGAATTATGACAAGTCAGTTTAAAGTGCTCCCACTGGCTACATTTGGACAATTTGAAACGCAAAAAAGAATACTGTTAATAATATTAAAAATATTGAATAAATTAAAATCTCTGAATACAGAGTGAGAAATTTAAAAACCGAAACCTTTTTTTAAAAAAAAAAAAAAAAACAGAAGAATGAGTGTAGAAGGAATGATAGAATTAGAAAATTGCCATTTGCAACTCTCTGTGTTAAGTACTGTTAAAGGCAAGGATCATCAATGTACGCTAAAGCCATGGTGTGAAAGACTGTTGCAAGACAGAATATTTATGCCTTGTCAAGGTATCAGTCTGCAGATTTCTTACAGGGAAACATGGATCTACACAACAGAGTATGTGTAGTTCACCACCTGTGCAAGTAATACTGGGTCAAGGTGACATCATGAGCTTCCTGATAAGATGCAACATAATCATGCATCACTTCTGATGTGAAGCGGCCACAAATGTTCAATCCAATTCTAATCAAGACTCAGACCTTACTGATCAATTCACAGGAATTATGTGAGGGAGATCAACAAATTAAATGGAAAACGATCACACAAATCCAGAATATGGGACATCCTACAATACAACCGGAATGAAATCTTTAAAAAGTCAAATACCATGAAAAAATAAGTGCATTAAATAAAAGAGACTAAAGAGATAGAAAAGCTAAAAGCCATGAGTGAGCCTTGACTAGTTCAAGGAGAAAAATAATGTTATAAAGAAGATCCTAATTTTTTGGAGAGTCATGCTAAAGTATTAATATTTACAAGTAAGTGTTGTGATGTCTGTAAATTAACAATGCTCAGCTAGTTAGTTGGATAGAGGAATAAGATAGATAGAGTGACAGATAGATAGAGTGACAGACAGAGTGAGAGATAGATAGGGATAATGAACCAATGTAGCAAAATATAAGTAATTATTGAATCTAGATGAAAAAATGTACAGTAGTTAATTGTGTTATTTTATCAACTTTTATGTATGCTTGAAAATTTTACACAGTACAATTTTGGGGATAAAACCACATTCCAATGTCACTAACATCCATTTGATACCAAATTCATAAATAAAATATTTGAAAAGAAAATTTAATAGTAAACTTAAATAATTATGCACTATATCCAAATGAAATTTACTCAAGAAATGCAAGTGATGTTCTAAATTAGGAGACCTACTAATGTAAATTCCCATATTAATAGACAAAGTAGAAAAGTTTGATCACCTTAAGTTTCTAGCATTTAGTAAAATTCAGTCATTATTCCTGATAAAAATTCTGTATGTATAATAAAGTAAATGTTCGTAACATCATTTTTAAGTGCAAGCATCATGATTAACATGCTTAATGCTTAAACATTAGAAACACTGCTGTTTAACTGGGGATATGATGGGATACCAGTTACCACCACACGACTTAAGAGTTTTTAAAAGATTAGCCAACATAATTAGGGAAGAAAAAATAGTCTAAGCATTAGAAATCAAGAAGAAATTAATATTAAAAAAATTAGATATTAG